TTTATTATGAATACGTCAAGAGAAAATAAAAGCAAGATTAAGAATTTATTATTTTCAAGTTTAGATTTTGAACAAGATATAGGTTTTTAATGTTATTTTATTTATTTTAACACATATTTAAAGATTACATTTATATTAGTACATATATGGTACATATACAAATATTATACATATTATTTATAATTATATATTGTATTTATAATTTAGATTAATGACAATATGAAGTCTACATCAGATATAAAAATTTTACAATGGAATATTCGTAGTGTTAATTCAAATCGTGCTAATTTAATCTTATTAGCAAATGAAGAGTCTCCAGATATAATTTTTCTAAATGAAACATGGCTAAAATCCAATCAAAATTTTGTTTTATCATCATATAATATAATTCGTCAGGATAGGGAAGATGGATATGGTGGAGTGGCAATTTGCGTCAAAAAGAATATTATTTTTTCTAATTTAAAAAAATTTAATTCAGAAGTTGCTCAATTTATTATTATTAAAATTGCTGATTTAATATTAATTAATATTTATATTAATTCAGATAAAAATGTTTCGGAAGATCTGTTTAAACAACTTTTAGATGGTTTAGATTTAAATAAAATTATTATTATGGGAGATTTTAATTCCCATCATCCATTATGGGATGAATCTCCTATTAATAGGGGCGGAATAAGGCTTGTAAATTTTATTATAGAAAATGATATGGTGATTTTAAATGATGGTTCTAGAACTCTTGTGCAAAATCCGAATTCCAGTTTGAGTGCAGTTGATTTAACAATTGTCAGTAGCGCATTAGCTATAAATTCTAACTGGAAAGTTATTAGTGATTGTGGAAATAGCGATCATTATCCTACAATTTTACAATTAAATTTATCAAACAATTTATATTTAAAAAAAGCTTTTGTAAATAGTTATTGTGTACGAAATTGTAGTAAAGCTGATTGGCATCTTTATCAACATAAAATAGCTGTGCAGTTAATCGAGAAAGATAGTACTATTTTAGATTATAATGATTTGTCTTTTATTATGAATAGAGCTGCTGATGATGCCATTCCTTTGAAAAAATGTGGTTCTTATCATAAAATTGGAAACCCATGGTGGGATGAAGAATGTTTTCAGTGGGTTCAAGACAGAAAAAGAGCAATTAATGTTTTCAATAATGTTCCAACTTTGACTAATTTTATCAATGCTAAAAGATGTATTGCAGTTACGAGAAAAAAATTAAGATCAAAGAAAAAACAAAAATTTCAATCTTTTTGTGAAACATTAAATAGGGAATCTAGCATTTCATACGTTTGGGAAAAAATTAAAAAATTTTCTAATAATAACAGCAATTCTAATAGTTATAACATTTCAGATGATTTAAAACAACAAATTTTATATAATATGTCTAGTATATACATAGATCCGAATTTTACACTGTCGCCAACATATATAAATAGTAACATTCCTCCATTCACTAGTCAGGAATTTAACTATGCTGTTCAGGATAAAAAATTTTCTGCACCTGGCATGGATGATATTTCTTATTCCATGTATAAAAATTTACCATTGATTGCTAAAAATTATCTTCTTAAAATATATAACAAATGTTTATTTGAAGGTGTGTTACCGGATTCGTGGAAGAAATATAATATTATTAATATCTTAAAACAAAACAAAAATCCTACTTTGCCAGAGAGTTATAGACCTATTGTATTATCTTCATGTGGTGGCAAAATTTTAGAAATTATGATTAAAAATCGTTTAGATTGGTTTTTGGAGAATAAAATTGTGTTTACAAATGAACAGGTAGGTTTTCGTAAGGGTAGGGGAATATATGATAATATTGCTTATTTATCTACTTTTATTTTTGATGCCTTTAATTCGTCAAATTCAGTTATTGCTGTTTTCTTAGATATAAAATCTGCATATGATAATGTTAACATATACAAACTCTATAATTTGCTTATTAATTTACAAATTCCAGTAGAATTATCTAATTTAATTTTTATACTTTTGAAAAATAGATTGTTATTTTCCAGAAAATCTGATGGTTCCTTCTTAGGTCCGGTTTTAGCAACTAAAGGTATTCCGCAAGGTTCTCCATTAAGTACTATTCTTTTTAATATTTATATTTCAGAACTTTTTAAAAATTATTTAAATGTAAAGATTATTGGTTATGCGGACGATTTGGTAATTTTTGTTAAGGGTTCAAATATACTTGAGATGTCTGAAAAAATTAATAATGCTTTGGAGCTTGTAAATGATTTTCTTATTAATAGAGATCTTTCTTTATCTTTGGAAAAATGTGAGGCAGTATGGTTCACTAAGGGCAAACGGAGAGATCAGCCACCATTGATTCAACTTGGAAATCACATTATTCCATATAAACATAATGTGAAGTATTTGGGCGTTATTTTTCAAAAACATTTAAAGTGGGATTTGCATATTGAAAATATTACTAATAAGGCTAAAAAAGCCTTAAATGTTTTAAGGGCTGTTTGTAGAGTGTGGTGGGGAGCTGATCCTTGTACCCTTTTAATTATTTTTTCTGCTCTGGTGAGATCTCATTTGGAATTTGCAACAATTTTTATTAAACCAACTAGTCAAAAAAATTTAAATAAACTAGATGTAGTATTTTTTGAGGGTTTACGTATTTGTCTAGGTTGTATGAAATCTACTCCTAGATTAGCGTTGTTGGGAGAATCTTCTATGATTGATTTAGAATTAGAAGAAAAAATACTTGTAGGCAAATTTCTGTCTAAATTGTTAACTTTACAAAATAATCCATTAATAAATTTAATTTACAATATTAGAAAAACTGTTAATCCAATTTATATTAATAGTAATAATGTACCTTATGTGGTCTCAGCTTTACATGACTTTCTGCCTTATATTGATAATCTTTATGTTAGTCAAAATTTTCCGTGTTATGAAGTTAGTTTTAATATTTTGAATGATTCTATTAAATTAGTTGATTGTCAAATTAATAAACATGATTTTTTCTATTAAGGAACAATTTTTGTCAGTGTCTGAACGTTTTAAAATTCTCATATTTTTATTTTACAGATGCATCTAAAAAGATAAAAGAACAGGATTTGGAATATATATTCCTTATATAAATTTTAAATTTTTTTCGCGACTAACTGGTTCTTTAAGTATTTGTAAGGCAGAATCCATAGCTATTCATGATGCAGTAAAGTTTGCTATTAAAAAGAACTTGCGTAGTGTTATTATCTTTTCAGATTCCAAAAGTTCAATTCAAAAAATTAGTAAAAATCTCTTTAAAGCATCTGCTGATTATTGGACCTTAAGAACCAAACGTTTAATTTGTTTAGCAAGTTCTAATGGTTTTGACATCAGGATTGCCTGGATTCCAGGTCATTCCAATATCTTGGGAAATACAGAGGCAGATTTGTTGGCTAATATTGGAAAAGATTTAAATATTCCGAAATCTATGGAGATGGATTCGATAGATATTTTTAATTCAATTAAAACTGATATTTTGTGTAATTATAAAGAAAATTGGAAATCTCGTATGGAAGGAAAAAAGCATGTGTATTTTAATATACAAACAATCTTCCCAGATAAACAATGGTCTAAAAATTTCCAGTATATAGATAGAAGACATATTCAACGTTAATTAGAATGCGTACAGGCCATTGCTTAAAAAAAAAACCATTTATATAAAATTAAAGTGAAGGAAGATCCATTCTGTGAGTGTGGCTCTGTTGAAGACCTAAATCAGATCTTTTTAGAATGTCCTATAAATTTTTTGTTTAATTTGGATTTATATCAAAAATTTATTGAAATGAATTTTCCTACTCCACTATCAATATTTACAGTTTTGTCTAAGCCAAGTGAAAAATTAATAGAAACTATTATGATATTTTTTAACATTAATAGAATTAAATTATAATGCTCAACTTTCTATTTTTTATTTTCTTTTTGTTTCAGTTTCCGAATGCAGTCTGTTTGTGTGACCTCTATCCTATGTGCCTTTGTGTGTGATATAATCTTCCTTTCAGCGCGTCATTTATATATTTAATAAATAATAATAATAACATTTTACAGTCACAGGTCACAGGTTACCTTCATAGAAGTTAGTTATATTAAAATTTACCCATTATACATTTTACTCAGATAAGAATCAGTGGCCTTGATATGGTTTAGAGCCAGTCAACATCTTGGTCACTCCCAAATTGAGCTGGCGGTTGCCTTGTAGCAGAGCCATCATAAAAAAAGAAGAAGAAGAGAAGAACCATAGATAAGAGAATAAAAATAAATATAACCAAACATTCTAAATAATGAGCTGGCTAATGGGACGAAAAGGACCCAAACCAATAAAGAGAGATTAATTTCCTCTTCGCAAACTACTACTACTACTATAACCAAACATTACCCAAAAAAAGTTTTGTTTTTCTTTTTTAGACAGAGTTTTTGAATATAAAATAATTATTGTTTATCAATATTTTGTGCTTTATTTATTATTTAACAATGGTTAAAGTGTGTGTGGTGCGAAGTTGATTGAATATCTGATGGAAAAATAAAGAGCAAAGGCAAAGCCTACGGTATGTAAAATACATACTATAATTCAGTATTGTATTATTTGTATTATATGTAAAAATTAGAGTCAATCAAAAATGTAGTAAACATTTTTTGTAAGATTATTGACATACATGTTACAAAGTATATTTTTACAATCCTTTTTATAAAGTTACAACCTAAATAAAAAAAGTTTTTAACTGTAAGTGCTGTATTTTAATAATCTATCAAAAATCAAAATCATCAGGATAATATTAGGTATTGATTTTCAGACAAGACTTAGATTACAGTGATGGTCAAAAGCATTTAGATATTGCTTTGAAATCTACAGATAAGGTATGGCAGTTTCATTTTAAAGAATGAAGCTCCTACCTACTGACTCAGGTTAATTTAAATTCACCAATTGCAACAACAGCAACAAGCAAGAAGGGCACCATTAAATGAATATTATACACATAAGTATATTATTATACACAGAAAGAGTAATGTTATACACATAAATATTAACATTTTGTAGAGCAACAACACAATAAAAAACCAAAATATGAACACCAGCAACTAAAACAGGAACCATTAAATGAATATTACACACGTAAGTACAATTTGATCGATCGAATAAAAAACGGCGTCAGCGATGCCTATGAAATGAAGATTGCTGTCATTTTATATGTAAAATGATATGGAGAATGTCATCGAGATGTTCATTTCCAAGCCCACTGGACGCCGTGTTTTTTCGATCATACAGTATTATTATACACATAAATAATAATATTATACACATAAACATCCCTTGATAAAGATCAACATTTTGTAGAGCAATAACAGCATCAAATAATGGAAATAATGGACCCTACTGCTCAAATCAAAAACAAAATTTCATCATTACCACTTTATTGGTTATATCAATAAAAGAAATTATTGAGTTTATGAGTCTAGATCCTACAAGCAAGCAGATCTATCACATAATTTTAAATGAAGATTTATCTATTATAGTATGTATAAACACTTTGCATCTTTTATTCAATGTTGTAATGAATTAACAAATTGCAGGTAATTTATTCTAATAACAAAAAAAAACTTTGGATCAAAAAATATTTTCTTCTGATGAGGTTTATGAATATTAAAGTCTGTTGAAGTTTGGCCATTATGTGTTGGTATACAATTTATTTATGATGTTACAGTAGTTAACCGATCATCCGAGTACGAAACATGTTTAAAATCCACTATTCTTAATGAATGGCAACTACCAACTTGAGAGGAAGCTAAGAGAAAGGTTCAATTGGGTGGACTACAAGGAAAAGGGACATATACATGAGGATCTGGAAGGGCTATAACATTACGTCTCAAGCCATGGGACAATAGGAAACGAAATTCAAAGGAAAATATTACAATACGTTGGATGCAAATTATAGTGCAAAGAATTGAGAAAAAGAATTATTAAAAGTAGTTATTGTTACGATAGTTAAACCATCCGACTACCAAATATATTTAAAATCCACTATTCTGAATGAATAGCAACTACCAACTTGAGAGGAAGCTGCGAGAACGATTCTATTGGGTGAACTACAAGGAAGACATGAGCATCTGGAAGGGCTATAAAATTATATTATTTCACGTTTCAAGCCATGTTGGAATAGCTGGGAGTGAAAAAGAAGATAATACTGCACACCATTCTTGTCTAGAAGTAGTTGATATTAAGGTAGTTAAACCATCCTACTATCGAACATTTAAAATCCACTATTCTGAATGAATGGCAACTACGATGGGGCAAAACGTAAATAAATACTTGTACAGTATAAAATTATATTATATTGGCTTAATTTTTATACTAAATAAAGTGTGTTACGTTATTTTAGACCTGCATTATATTTATTTAAATCCCATATCATCAATTAAACTTTTAATAAAGTTTTCCTAATTATAATTACATTAATTTTAAACTAAGCTTTTCATCTCGAATAGAGATTTACGAAATAACTTATGAGAAACAATAAAAAGATGCTCAGTCTATTGCTTCTGAATAATCGATAAAAAAACCACATATTGACTTACTTTTATACTAAATAAATGTAGGTATGAAGTTATTTTAAAGCTGCATTATATTTATTTTAAACCCATCACAAATTATTCCTTTAAATAAAATTTTTCTTAATTATAATTACCATTAATTTTAAGCTAAAACGATCAGAATATTTTTTCGTCGTCTTGAATGACATTTGCGAAATAACTTATGAGAAACAATAAAAAAAGGGCCTAGTCTATTGCTGCTGAATAAAAATCTGTAATTTATTTCATGCAACATGAAAATAAAATTGTATTTTTTTGAAACCCGCGGCTTCGCGTTTGCTTGACGTCAAATATTTATGTCTTGAATCATCTGTTCTAAAATGTTCGGCGCATGTCTTAAATTTTAGGATCTTGCTACAGCAGCGCCATCCTAATTCTTCCCTTTTTTTTACCATTTTTTAATGCACGGAGTTATTTCTCCTTACCTCTACACTCCATAGGTCACAATTTGGTCTCGTGTGCTAATTGTCCTTGTATTCTTTAGTCATTAATTTAAATCAAAGACTCGTAATTAAAAACTAAAGTGTTAAATACATATTAAAGTGTCAAACGAATGACAATGTCAGGAAATAAATAAATAAATGTGACAACTTGACATTTTCTACAGCAGTGCTACCACCTGAATCGCCAGTAGGAAATTTAAATTCTAGTTAGTCAGCCCGGCGCTGATTATGTCTAATTTTAAAAATTGCGCCCTCGATTACGTAACTAAAACTTTAATTGGTATAGCTTATGGTATATATCGACATAGCTTTTAACTTTATCTGGATCAAATTAAAGCCATTTCAGAGTTTCTTCGCCTGGATTGTTCCAGATTCGATAGTTACATTTTATGGACCTGTCAGTAGCAGAATATTTTTTATTGCTTTATCTTGTCTCGTACGAGTTTGCGTCATCGAGCTATTAATTTATATTTATCTTTAAATCTATTTATTTTTGTTTTATTCTTTTAGAAAATTCGTGTAGGTTTTCAAACATTTATTTAGCAAGATATACAGGTTGTCCCAAAATTCAGTCAATATAGAACTACTGCTTGTTTTTGGACTCAAAATAAGTTCATTGTGCACAATTTACTTCTATATAAAAGTGATTTGTTTGTCCGTTAAGAGGGTCATCAACCTTTAACAAAAAATAAACACATTTTTATGAGATATGAATCAGATTTGAATGAGATCTGGAGTGTCTAAGTTCTGTTAAGCGTTTTATCGTTTGACTTGACCACAAAAAAAAAAAGAAAAAGCACGAGAAAAGTTAAAAATACCTCCTCCCCTACATAAATTTTAGTAGAAATATTTTCCAACTCACAGACGACTGATTATTTTTTTGTGAAATGTTCCTTCTAGTACAGAATATACAGGGTGGTCCTAATTGTATTCCGGAAACTTCGGCAGCATATTCTGCAGATAAAAATAAGTAGAAAAATTCGTATAAATGTATACCCTAAAATAAAATAAAAACACTAAATCACCACAATACACCAAAACACTTTTACTTTTACACTGGACGCGCGTTTCGCCAAAGCATTAACCAAACCAAACCAAACTACAGTTATGGTTAGTTTCCGAGATACAGGGTGTAGAAGTTACATTTTTATTTTGATATTTTGCAAATAATTTCTGAAGTAACGTCAATATTTGGATGAAAATTGGTGTCTAGATTTTTGACATAAGAAATTTGATTTTGATGTCAATATGATTCCTATTTGTAGGGGAAGCTACCTACATGTGGCTTTAACTCTTTTGAAGAGTAATAACTTTTCGTTCGTACCTGTATAAAAGTACTGAGTGAAAAAATATACATTTCCGTGACTTTTTACGTAAAAAATGTCTCTTGGTAAAAATCCCTACGAGCAACCGTACACAAGATATTTAGAATGGAAATAGTCAATACATGTCATTATTGACAAAAAATAAACACGTTGAGTAGATAGTTACACATTAGATAACACAAAAACATTTCAAATTTATGATTTCAGTCTAATAACTATTTAGTCAACATGTTTAATTTATGTCAATGATGACAGGTATTGATAATTTCAATTCCAAATATTTCGAGAACCATTACTCGTAGCGAATTTTACCAAGAGACCTTTTTTACGTAAAAAATGTCGTAAATGTATATTTCTTTACTTAGTAGTTTTGTACAAGTTCGGACTAAAAGTTATTACTCTTCAAACCAGTTTAAAAATATGTAGGTGGCGCCCTATGTCAAAAAACTCCCAGACACCAATTTTCATCCAAATCTTTACCTTCATAAATTATTTGAAAAAAATCGAAATAAAAGTGAAACTTCTACACCCTGTATCTCCAAAACTAAGCATTTTAGGACATACATTTTGTACGAACTTTTTTACTTATTTTTATCTGCACAATATGCTGCCGAGGTTTCCGGAATACAGTTCGGACCACCCTGTATAGCGCCAACTAGATAATTACTGAACTAGATATTCGCCAACTAGATAATTAGTGTATATTTGATGTTCCAAAAAATATTTTTTTACAAAAGACAGAAATGTAGTAAATAACAGGATCATTTTATGACAAAAAATCTGTCAGTGGAGTTGAAATTATTTCTAATAAAAGTTATGTAAGGGTGGGGTTAGTTTTCACCCTTCCCGTACGTTTTCTGGATTTTTGTGGAAGTCAATTATTGTTAAAGCGCTGATCAAAACATAGGCACCCCTAATCTCATTCAAATTGAAATAACTGTTTTTAAATTATCTCAAAAAATGTGTTTATTTTTTAATCTATACTAATATATAAAATCCTTAAGTGACTGACATACTGATTAATCACGATCCTGCTCAAACCACTCAACGTAAGAAACTCAATTTTGGCATACAGGTTTTTTCTAGGGTGTAGAAGCTCGATAAGAAGGGATTTTTCGAAATTTCAGTTCCAAGAGGGCGAAACCACCCCTCAAATATTACAATATTTTTTATTTAAAAAACGGTCAAGTTTCCGAAAAAACACTTAAACACGTGTATTTTATTTTGTTTTTTTACATATTTTAAGATCTTTTAAAAATGTATACAGGGTGTTTCGAAAAATCTGGTCATTGATTAATCACGATCCTGCTTAAAGCGATTGACATAAAAAGCTGATTTTTGGGAAAACAGATTGCCTTTAGGGTCTAGAGGTTCGATAAGAAGGGATTTTTCGAAACTCAAATTCTAAGGGGGTGAAACTATCCCTCAAATATTAAAATATTTTTTATTTAAAAACCGGTGAGTTTTTCGGAAAACTCTTAAACACGTATGTTTTATTTTGTTGTTTTACATATTTTAAGATTTTTTATAAATTTATACAGGGTGTTTCATAAAATATGACTATTGAGTAATCACGATTCTGCTTAAACTGCTTGACGTTTAAAGCTGATTTTTGGCAAACGGATTGACTGTGGGGTGTAGAGGTGGGATAAAGAGGGATTTCTCGAATCTCAAATTCCAAGAGGGTGAAAACGCCCCTCAAATTTTACAATATTTGTTATTTAAAAAACGGTTAGTCTTTCGGGAAAACGCTTGCATAAGCATAATTAATTTGGCTTTTATACATATTTTGAAATTTTTTAAAAAATCATACACGGTGTTCCAAAAAGTTGGGTAATTTCTTAACCACGATTCTGCTTACTGCTTGACGTAAAAAGTTTATTTTTGGCAAACGGATTTTTCGAAAGTCAAATTCCAACGAGATGAAACTACCCCTCAAATATTACCAAGTTATATAATAATATCGCCATATTGTTTTTTCTCATGCTGACATAAATGTGAGAAAATTTTATCCAGTTTGTATGCTAATGGAAATTCTTGATTTGCTTTATCATCACCATTACAAATGATTAATTCGACGCGAACGAAGTCGCTGGTACACGCTAGTTATTTATATAGAGGTAGGTAAATAATTATTGTGTTCAATAAACTTATTTTGATACCAAGAATACGTGGTAGTTCTATGTCCACGGGATACTGCGACATCCTATATAGGCTTTATTATTAATTTTCTAAATTTAATTACAAAACAGCTAGTCAGTCTCATTCTTTATTCAAAACCATCGATCTTCTATTCTACAGTAAATCCTAATTCTGTACAAGGCTATAATTCATCCTGTCATAGTGAAC